TACTCGGAAATGTGTTTGCGTGTGTTGTAAGATCATATAGTTGGTGCGTAACTGCAATAATTCAGCTTAAATTTCTCGTGTTTATTGTCAAATGCAAAATTTAACAGCTTTTGGATACTTCCTCAGACGATCTAAATAAATGGTTTTCCTCTACCATTATATGTTATGGAAAAATTATAGATGAGTATAATATTCTTATCTAGAGAGGCACTTTACTCTCCATTTGGTATCTAAAAGAAGCTACTTTTCCTCTCTATATCTAGAAGGAAGATCTGGATTCTGGGAATTTATGCTTCAATGTAATATTTTTATGTGAAATATGGTAACCTGAGCAACTTTTATACTTTTAATGAGCATAAAGAATTTCTGTGTTATTCTGGCTATCTGAAATGTTACTTTCCTAGGAATGCATCATTTTAGTTTCTGTATGGCCTCTACTTTCTACGTGAACCATTACTAGAAAGAATGACGTATGACCTTTCTTAGAAAGTTGTATGATTTTGGGCAGATTGAGAAAAAATGGAGGGATAGGGAAGTTGAAGCAGAGACTGAAGATGAAGACACGGAAGGTGCTAGGACGTCTATTATACCACACATGTTCTGTAAAACTCTCACTGCTTCTGATACCAGCACTCATGGTGGTTTCTCTGTTCCTCGTCGAGCTGCCGAGGATTGCTTCCCTCCTTTGGTAACTTAAATCACATTTGACTTCCAGTTTTAATATGATATTACCAATTGTTGATGTTGTATATTAATAAGATTAGAGTCATTTCTTTATCTTGTTTCGCTATGGTGATGGTTTTATCATACTTTGTTTTTAGGACTATAAACAACAGAGGCCGTCTCAGGAGCTTGTTGCTAAGGATCTACATGGGATTGAGTGGAAATTTCGGCATATCTACAGAGGTATGAACTTTGGAATCTATTTGCCAATGCTATGTTTGAATGTATGGGATTTTGTGTAAAAGCTCATTGTACTGACTGATTTCCTAATTTTGTGAATTTGTTATTTATTAAAAACTTTTGGGGCAGGTCATACTTTGTTTTTAGGACTATAAACAACAGAGGCCGTCTCAGGAGCTTGTTGCTAAGGATCTACATGGGATTGAGTGGAAATTTCGGCATATCTACAGAGGTATGAACTTTGGAATCTATTTGCCAATGCTATGTTTGAATGTATGGGATTTTGTGTAAAAGCTCATTGTACTGACTGATTTCCTAATTTTGTGAATTTGTTATTTATTAAAAACTTTTGGGGCAGGCCAACCTCGAAGGCATTTGCTTACTACTGGTTGGAGTGCATTCATCAATAAAAAGAAGCTCGTGTCCGGAGATGCTGTGCTCTTTATAAGGTAGGATATGAAATAATAAATATTTTAAAAGTGATAAATGTTTAGTTATATATATTTTCTTATATATATAATATGGGCATCCATTGCAGGGGTGGGGATGGAGAACTCAGGCTAGGGATCCGAAGAGCCTCCCAAATTAAAAGTGGTGCTTCAATTCCAGCTTTCCTTGCCCAACAGTTTAGTGCTAGCGGCATTGCTAGTGTACTTAATGCCATATCTACACGAACTATTTTTAACATTTGTTATAGTCCAAGGTATTGAGTCAACCTAATTATTAACAAATTTGTCTTTTGTTAAAAAAGATGGTTACTGCCTGGAAAGTATTGAGATGATTTTTTTATTTTTTATTTTTTAAGAGATTCAAATGAGTTACACCTAACTGTATCCTACCTGGTATGGCATCATTCTGATACATCAGCTGAAGATTTGTATTTTTACTGTCCTTTCTTTTGTGGTAATGCAAACATATATTGCAAAGGGACCACTTCACGATACTGACTATGATGCATGCTTGTTCGCCAAAATGGCTGATGAAATCTTGTAATGTGATGTTTTTGATGAATTATATCTTATCCTTGTGCTTTGTTGATCAAATTTTCTGTTCGCTATATATTTTATGTAAGATGCTAGATATACTAGAGATATGCTTGAGATTCATGTGGTTCACCTGGATATTTATTTCTAAAAATTCAGCCTGTTTTAACATAATAACATTTGTGATAGTAATCTATTGGCATAACTGCTTTTTCACTTTGGAGTGTGTGATATTGAGATTTCTCTACAATGTCTAGTACTTTTGTTAGTAATTTCTATTCCAGCTATTGTGCTGTGGTTTCTAAGTTTCATTAGATAATATGTTTTGCAGGGCTGGTTCATCCGAGATTATTGTACCTTGTCATAAATTTACAAAGAGTGCTGGACGATATTTTTCTGCTGGAATGAGGTTCAAGATGCGTGTTGAAACCGAAGATGCTTCTGAGAGAAGGTTGGTTTCTAGAATTTCTGAATTTCATTTCCCTGCATTGTCAGGAAAATTGATATTATTTGGGTAAGTGCAGTGGACTTATTGTTGGGGTTAGTGAGGTCGATCCTGTTAGATGGCCTGGTTCAAAATGGAGGTGCTTATTGGTATGTATTTGGCTTATTCCTGCTTTATATTTTAATAGCACAGTGATTATCCTAGTATAAATTGCATTATTCAGCTCTAGCCTTCACTCTTTCTAGTGTAATTATCCATTATATTAAGTTGAACCTGGTACTTTGTTCTTCAGGTTTGCCTTCATTATAAATAAAATCAAAATTTTTGTCATGCAGTTGATTACTAATATATTTTCAAACTATTGCCATAGCATCATAGGTGCCCACCGCCACTAGTAAGACAAAGATTAAGCTACTACTAATTTAATGTTTTTTTTTTTTTTTTTAGTATTTATAATGCTCATTATACATCTAAGAATATGAGAGATTTAATTGGAAATTGAAACAATTATACTTGGTGTAGTACCAGTTATTAGTAATGGTCTCCAGAATTATTTGCTGAAGCTTCGTATGGTATTTACTGTGATGTCCTTCAAAGTTTCATATCTGAGATGTCTACTGAGGCAACCCTTTGTATACCCATAACTACTTATGGAGTCTTAACACTTTCTTTTCGGACGTCCAACTCTCGCTTACAAGAGTTGCTAATGCAACCTGCAGCGACCTATTATCTCCTAAAGCTTATATGTGTTGAGATCATGTGTTAAATTATTTACGATATCCAATTCACTGAGCATTGGTTCTGACTCTCTAGTCTTTTATGGTGTGCTTTGTGCTTTCACAGTCATCTACTAATGATAGATTATCCTTCATCATATTTTTTATTTCATTAATGACCGAAGCTTTTTATATGGCTGGTGCTTTGGTGCCCAGCATCTGTCAGCATCACTGGCTGTTGTGCAGCTAGTTATTATCGTGTCAGTAGCCATTTTTTTGGTGACATTAATGGTCTGTTTTCACTTCTGCAGGTTAGGTATGATGATTTGCAGGTCAATCGCCTTCATAGAGTTTCCCCTTGGGAGATAGAGCCATCTGGTTCAGTGTCTGCACCTGGCGGCTTCGTAGTACCGGGTGCCAAGAGAATCAGGGTCGGATTTCCTGTAACAAAGCCAGATTTTCCAGTTCTCAAAGGTCTTTTCGTGTTCTTATTTTGTCTTATTGTATTTATACTCATTCCTGCTGGTTGCTTGGTGGCTCCTCTAAGAGTACTTACTAGCCTACACTTCTTGTAGATGGGAATGAAGTTTCAGACTTTGGGGAGCCTCTAAGGTTCCAGAAGGTCTTGCAAGGTCAAGAAATTTTGGGGTTTCGTACCCCGTATGCCGAAGTTGATTCCCGAAGTCAGCATCCATCAGCAATGAGGTGCTTTCCGGGTAACAATGGTTCTAGGATTTCTGCAGTGGGAAACAGCAGTAGGCACCTGCAGGCAGACTCAGAAAACTCCTTCAGGGGGGATTTTTTTCAATTCCATAAGGTCTTGCAAGGTCAAGAAGCAATTTCAAGAGGTCCAACAGCTAACAAGGTGCACGAAAATGGCGTCAGTAATGTTTTGAATGGTTTTCAGTTGCCAACTCATGGAAATAGTTGGTCCAACTTGACCCACACTCATATGCACCCTTCAGCAGCACTTATACAGGCATCATCCCCTTCCTCTGTGTTGTTATGTCAGCAAGCAAGCTCTCCACCACCTAGATTTCAGGCATTACATTCTGGTAATCAGAAGAATCTCGAGACTAGAGATCGTGACAAATTTTATATTTCTGAACAATTCGCAAGGAAGTTAACATCCTGCTCATCTTCTGAAAGTGGTGATACAAGGGAAGATCTACAAGGTTGCATATCTACGGGTGGTTCAGAAGAGCACAACCAAATGGGTTTTCTGCCGTCTCCCCTTTCGACTCCCCCATCCTTTAAAGGCAACAACAATTTTGTATCAATGTGCAAAAGTAGCTGCAGGCTCTTTGGTTTTCCGTTGAAGGAGGGATATGTGGCTACAAGAATGGGTAGTCGTCCAACTGAATCTGCTTGTTCGTATAGTCATGAAAATACTTTCTTGGCCCGTAATGAAGAACAGCTCTATCCAAAACCTCCGTTAGCAACCAAAATAATCGGTAACAGTTGTACCAAAGGAAGTGACATGCATGCAGTAAGAGAGCTGCTTCTCGATATAGAGCTTTAGCAAGTTACTTATTCCTGGAATTCTGATGTCTGTAATCGATCCACTATCTATCCGAAGACTGGAAATTTTCCCTATTGAATCATTGTAGTATTCATCTTGCCTAAGTGTAAATTAGTCCTAAATTAACTGGCTAGTTAGAACTTGTACTAGCATTATGCATGACTGTCTGAAGGTCGGTGTATTACTTGGAATCTATGCAGGTTGAATTTTATCTTTCTAATTAACTGAGTTTATTGTGCTTTAAAAAAATTGTATATTTAAATATTAGGAAAAGATTTTAAAATAGAAGTTTAAAAATTTTAAATGGGAACAAGTCCATTCCATTCCATTCCCCGTGTTTCTCACGGGATTTTCTTTCCTAGACTTACGTGTCAGCAAGTAATTGGTCATAGCAATTGTAAATGTGAAACCACCGAGACCACGTCACCGCTTTCGTCTACTCTGGGTACTGTTTCAGGTGATGACTCGTATGAGTCGCAAATGGCGCCTACGGAATCTGACGGCTTGCATTGCTCTGCATGTATTGACCAAACTGTGATTCTGGATACCGGCTTTTTATATACCTTTCGTCACATGCTTTTTTATTGTCCTAATTTCTGCAACAGAAACCCATTTCTCCAACACCAAAAAAAAGACGAGAAATATTTGAAAACAACTGGTGTCGAGAATGGCTGGGGAAAGCGGTGGTGATTCTGCAACTCTTGAAACGACGCCAACATGGGCGGTGGCGACGGTTTGTTTCTGTCTGATAGCAGTTTCTATACTTATAGAACACGGTCTTCATCTCTTAGCAAAGGTATAATTAATAGATTTTGTAATATTGATTTTTTGGTGAACATGTGGATAAGACATAGGAAAAATATTTGGACTTACGTGTAAAATTATTTTAGTGCAAGAATGTATGGTTCTGGGAAAAAACGACTAAACATTGTATGCATACTCTTCAAATTTCAAAATACTCATGCTTTATCATTTTGTGCAGTACTTGAGCAGGAAGAGGAGGACATATCTCATTCACGCTCTTAACAAAATCAAATCAGGTTAAATTTTTAAGCTTGGGATGAATATATAATTGGTTAATTTTCAGAATAATTTTAAAATATTGATGTTGCTTATTGTCCTTGAATTTGCCAATCATGTAGACTTGTTGCTTTTGGGCTTCATCTCCTTGTTGCTGACCGTATGTGAAAAGCCAATTGCAAATATATGTATTCCCAAGGGTGTTGCTCATTCTTTTCTTCCGTGCCACAGCTTGACAAGCGAGGAAGAGGAGGAATCCAAATGTGAAGAACAGGTACTTTATATGTAGCTTGGAATAGTTCTTGGAACGTAAATTGGGGTTAATGAATTTGATGCAATTAATTAACTTGTAAATTCCAGATTTTAGTTTCATCTTATTGATTTTTGAAATTTTGGAACAGGATAAGTTATCTTTGATTTCGAGAGTGGGCATCCAGCAACTCCAATTGTTGATATTTTTTCTAGCTTTCTTCCATGTTTTGTCCAGTTTTCTCACATTCAGTCTTGGGATAGCTAAGGTAATTATATTCAACTTAGTTTTGCTCTTTTTCATATTCTTCATCTAGAAGAATTCTGTAAGTTTTTCTTTTTACCTTGGATGGTAGGCCATTGATGTTGGATTTCTCTTGTGAATTGCCAGTATCTGTAACTCATAAAAAAAGGGTAGTTTCTGGAACAAGTTTTGAATCTTTGATTAAGACTGCTGTTTTTGAATTTTCAGATGAGAAGATGGGAACATTGGGAAGCAGAAACTAGGACTTTGGAATATGAATTTTCGAATGGTTAGTGAAAGGTCAATCTCCATGAATAAAAGGGCTTGATAGATTTTCATACCTATCTGACGAGTTACTAACTGAAATAATTTTCAAGTTCCAAGTACACAAGATAACAAAAACAACATAATGAAAAGCAAGAACATCGATACATGGTAAACTGAAAACCAGAAAAACCAGTTTTGTGACATGCAAATTTATTGATCATGTTGCTGGACTCTGGTCTTGTAAATGCCAGAACCATTCATGTCCTGCACTGTTTTATCTTTTCCTTCCCAATGCCTGTGATTATCGTGAACAATGAGTTCAATGGCTAGAGAATGATTCATAAGTTATGCTGTCTAGATAACCGGAGGTTTCAGCTCATTCATCAAACATCATTCGGAAGACGACATCTTAAATTTTGGAGTGAACATCGGCTCCTCCGTTGGCCGGTTAGTTCTTCACCGAAGAGCCTCTTAGCTTCTGATATCTCATTTTCATGCTACTGTTCGAAATAAAACCTGATGTTTGCCATATTCTACCAGGCTTGCTTTCTTCGTCAATTCTATGGATCTGTTTACAAAGTAGATTATTTCACTCTTCGACATGGATTCATCGTGGTAGGATACCTCTATATGCCTATTATATGCATGAAAACTTTTCACAATTCAGCTTGAAATTTTACTTCACGTTTCATTCACATTCTGTTTCAGGCACATTTTGCTGAAGAAAGTGATTTTAATTTCCAAAAGTATCTAAAGAGAGCACTGGAAAAAGATTTTGGTATCGTCGTGGGCATGAGGTAATTCCGACCACCAGGTCGGGCATCTCTAGTCGTTAATTCTTTCATGTAGTGGCAGTTTTTGAATTCTGATATAAATGTCTATAATTTGCAGGCTTTGGATCTGGATCTTCTCTGTACTCTTCATATTCTTCAATGCATTTGGTAATGTACCAAACTCTTGACACAAATATACGAATCCTGAACATTTTGCTAATATCCCTGATTGGATTTCCATGCCTTTCTTGATGCAGTATTTCGCAACTATTTTTGGCTCCCATTCATTCCGCTATTGGTAACAAAATGCTATAAATGAAGATTACTTTGTTTTATTTCAAGAAAATCAAGATAAATAACTAAATAAACCAATTATTCACATTTCAGATGTTACTGGTTGTTGGGACAAAGCTGCAAGGCATCATTACCAAAATGTGCTTAGACAGCAGCGATAAATCTCATGTTGTTCAAGGAACTCTGCTTGTTCAGCCTGGCGACCACCTCTTCTGGTTTGATAGACCAGAATTACTTCTCCATCTCATGCACTTAATCTTATTTCAGGTACTTAGATTAATACTCTTAATATAATTATGTTCCTCGTTCCTAGTATGCTCAAAGTTTAACTGTGCATGTTCATCACATTGTATTGTATATTACTGGACACTAGAATAGACAAAATTTAGTTTTTTCTTTCTTGTTATAGTAATGTCCAGTACTCTACGATCCAACTTAGCTAACAAACCATTAATTTACTACTGCTTCCATCAATGCATAACTTCTAAACTACCAACCATTATCTTGTATCAACTGTAAATAGAAATTTTTAACTTGAGAATATTTTGAGTTCAAATATCATTGTTTTTCGATCTCTTCAACAACTCTGTAGACAAATATTTGGCATTTCTTCTGTGCAAGATTTGTTTGTCTCCGTAGCACTGATTCTTGAATACCTTGTTCGGCATTGCAGAACTCATTTCAGTTGGCATTCTTCGTGTGGTCTTGGGTAAGCACAGTAAAATAATATTCTTATTTTCTAGTTTTCCTAAAACAAAAGCACATAAAGAATGACCAGTTGTGTTTCTTTAACAGTACAAATTCGGTCTGAGATCATGCTTCCATCGGAAAACTGAGGATATCGTCATAAAACTCATAGTAGGAGTAGTGGTAAACTTTCTCTGTGGCTATGTGACTCTGCCTCTCTATGCATTAATCAATCAGGTAAACACCATTATTCCTCCACAAGGAAAAGATTGAACTGGTTCCATTCTTCATGTCATAAGTAATCCTAATGAAATCAACTTACAGATGGGGTCATCAATGAGAAATTCTGCTTTCACAGAAGAAGTGATGGGAGGCCTAAAAAGGTGGCGAGTCAAAGCAAAGAAAAACTTGGCTGATAAGCGTCACAAGGATTTGGCACGTCGTTCTTTAGATGGTTTGCTTGATACGTCAGTTGAATCCTCTCCATCATGCGGTACTCTTGATCCTTCGTTCTCTATAGAAATCGATTATGCTAGTGACAGCGGTGTTGTATCAAACGAAAATAGCGTTGCAAGAAGGCAACCTGAGCAGCATCAGAAGCCGGGATCTTTCGAAGGTTTTGAATTGAGTAGAACGTATTAGTGAGTATTGAAGACACGGCATGTACATTTGAATTTATTTCATCTCACCACATTTTTAGTTTAGAAAAGTTGTTTGAGGATGCTTTTGCAGAATATTTGTTTTTTTTCCTTTATGACCTTGTATCCAGGGAACTTTTGCCTTTTCACATTATTAATGTACACAAGTGTCGAGTACTATGACATTATTTGTAAATAGGGATAATTGTAGCGAAGGCCCCAAACTTTTGAAATATTATCAGACTTTTCCCAAACATTTGATTTGTGGCACCCATCACCCCTAATCTTTCCAAACGTTGCACCTGAGGCCCTTTTGGACGGCCTTCATTCAAAATTTCGTCAGTTGACCAAAAAAATAATTTTGACCACATTTTAACAATTTTTAAAGGGGCAAAATGGTAACTTTATATTAAAATCAAAATAAATAAAAAAACAAGGAAAAACAAAATTCGTCCTCTCCCCTAACCCACCCCCAAATCCCCCAACAACAAATTTCATTCCGACAGCATCTTCTTGTTTTGTTGTTTCTGAGAAGTCATTGCCACTGCCTCAGCCGTTGCTCTCTTCTTAGTCGCCAAGCGAGTGACTCTTTTGCAGTTCTCTTTGTTCGCCATTGTATAATATGACAACGAATGCAGATTCCAAGAAATCCAGAAAGAGAGAGAGAGAGCGTAGTGTGCAAGGATGAATTGTTTGTGAGAGTAGTGGATGCAAAAGAGTTAAGGGTGTATTTTGTTGATCTGCATTTTTCTAAGTTTCAAGGATGGGTTGGGGGCTTTGGGGGGAGTATTGAAAAGTTTTGATTTTTTTGAATTTCAAGAATCTGAGATTTGTGTGGAGACTGTTTCCCGATCTGCATTTTTCGCAAAATCTTATTCGTGTGGAAAGAATAGATTTCTACAAGTTCAATTATCTCAATTTTTCTTCTCCACCTTCGTCTAGGTGTAAAACAATGTTTAAAGGGGCAAAATTGTAACTTTATATAAAATAAAATAAAAAGGAAAAATAAAATTCGTCCTCTCCCCTAACCCACCCCCAAATCCCCCAACAACAAATTTTATTCTGACAGCATCTTCTTGTTTTGCTGTTTTTGAGAAGCCATTGTCACTGCCTCAGTCGCTGCTCTCTTCTTAGTCGCCAAGCGAGTGACCCTCTTGCAGTTCTCTTGGTCCGCCATTGTATAATACCACAACGAATGCAGATTCCAAGAAATCCAGAAAGAGAGAGAGCGTGGTGTACGAGGATGAATTGTTTGTGAGAGTAGTGGATGCAAATGAGTTAAGGGTGTATTTTGTTGATCTACGTGTTTTTCTAAGTTTCAAGGATGGGTTGGGGGCTCTGGGGTGGAGTATTGAAAAGTTTTGATTTTTTTGAATTTCAAGAATTTGAGATTTGTGTGGAGAGTGTTTCCCGATCAGCATTTTTCGCAAAATCTGATTCGTGTGGAAAGAATAGATTTCTACAAGTTCAATTATCTCAATTTTCCTTCTCCACCTTCGTCTAGGTGTGAATATTCCTTCCAAACCAGATTGAACGAAGAATTTTTTTGGTTCCAATGGGACTGGAACTCAATTTAGGAGGTAATGAAGGACGTGTTGGAAGAGGAATAGAATTACTCAAAGGAAGCAGCCACTTTAACATTCGCCGGAAGGATCCTCATCTAGAAAGTTTAGATTTTTCTGGTTCTCATGGGGGGATTTGGGGGTGGGTTCAGGAGAAAAGATGAACTTTACTTTTATTTTATTTTATTTTAATATAAAGTTACCATTTTGCCCCTTTAAAAATTGTTAAAATGTAGTTAAAATTATTTTTCTAGTCAACTGACAAAATTTGGAATGAACACCGTCCAAAAGAGCCTTAGGTGCAACGTTTGGAAAGATTAGGGGTGACGGGTGCCACAAATCAAAGGTTTGGGAAAAGTCTGCTAATGTTTCAAATATTTGGGGCTTCTTCTGCAATTATCCCTTGTAAATATTGTCATTTTTTGTACTACACATTTGAATTTAACTCGCATAGATCGCGTTAAGAAAAATGAACGATTGAGTTATTTTACGTTTTTTGTGAATTGAATGATTAATCAGTGGTGTGGTTAACTATAAATTCATAGCTAACAATACTTAGGGTTCATTTGAGAGGGCTTTTGAAAATCAGAAGTTGTATTATCTGATTAGAAGAACTTTTAGAGAAAATTAATCTAAAATACCTTCCATACGAAATTATTCTACAAGAAGTAGAAGGAAGAATAGAAACCCTAATAAAAAATGCTTATTCTTTTGTTGTTTTAATTTATAAACGTACCTTTTCAATCACGGAGTCGTGAGCCTTTGTGTTCAAGTTTCTTATTTTAAACAATGTAATATTTTTCTTCTTAATATTATTTTTTGTTAATTAATTCAAGAATCGATTATGGAGTCTTGGTCTTTGTCTTTATAGGGCATATAAAAATTATTTTAGGTTTTCACATAGATTTTTAATTTAAAGTCAAAAATGGACAAACTGTAAGATGGGAAAGAGAGATTAGTATGGAACCTTTAGACTAAATTCTCCTATAATGTGTCAGTGGACCGGTCGAGTCCAAAAGTCGCAACCCGTTAAAAATCAAACTTTTTCACGGGTTTTCCTTCATACGCTCACATTGGCCTCGGGCCCTCAAATTTCTATTATTAATGAATAGCTTTTTCAACAGAGAAACCAACCGCACCGCTTGCTGCCGGTCCTTAATTAAAAGCATTGACTCGTTCAATTAAAGCATCTGTTTTTGAAATAGTATTTTTTTTAAAAATATGTGATTAAAAAAAAGAAAATATTTTAATTTATACGTAATATTATTTTATTGAAAATTGTGTGATTGATAAGAAGAAAGAGAAAAATGAATTATAATTTTAATAGGACCAAACAGGATATTAAGAGGCTCAGAAATCATCTCTAAAGTTAAGGGGTATTTTTACATTTTTGAAAATTATTTATTATTTTCACTTGTTTTTTAATTAATATATATTTATTTTAATTGTTAATAGTTAGAATATTCAATATAGTATGAATAATTTAATTAGTGAAACGTTGAAATTGTAATTTGATTAAGAATAATGTTTGTGGTACAATGTCGTGTCCAACGCGAACACACGGCACCTCGGCATTGGCTGAGGCGCCCATGGGCCCGGATGTGACAGGCTCCTCGGCCAATGTCGAGGTGCCGTGTATCCGCGTTGGACACCGCATTATACCCGTAACATAACCCTTTGGTTAAATACAGTCACAACAGAATGAGAGCCTTTTAAAAGCTAAAATTAAATTATTTAGAGTATATTCTAGAAACTCTTCAAATGTAATATATTCTTTAATTTTATAAAAAATAAAATAAAAATTGATCCTGAATATTAAGATCCAATTGATTCTCTATCTTAAAATAGAGAATGAGTTTCATCGTCCAAATTTGACAAGTCAAACTTACCCACAATTTTTACTTTATAATGATTGAATTTAATAAATTTTAAACATTACTGTTTCACTTATTAGATTATTTCAATTTTTACTTTTTTTTTTTGGGTTATTGACATCTAAAAATGTATGTTAAAAAAAATTGAGGAAATTCAATAAATTTTTGTGAAAAAAATTAAAAATAACATGTTTATTTAATTTATGAATAGACTGCGTAAATAAATTTTTCTATGTTTTACATTTGACGGTTGACCAAAAAATATATTGCGAATTTGTGATTAAACAGTGAATTAGGTGGCATCTAAGCTGGATTTCTCGTGTTTGACGATTGATCAAAAAATATTTTGCAAATTTGTGATTAAACAGTGAATTAGGTGGAATAATTAATCCCATCATTAAATAATTAAAATAAATCCCATTATTAATGGAATAATTATTCAATTCATCTAACGGTCGAGATTTGGTCATAACGCCCAATTAATGACACGTCCTCACAGAAAACGGTGACGTTAAGAATTACGTCACACCGTTGACGTTAGAGGCGCGGCATCTCACAACAAATTACTCAATATAAACCCCACCACTTTCCCAAAAGTCACCTGCTTTTACCCCAATACTCACCATGCAGAAGGCACTCCAATACAGAGACTGGCTTTCAACCACCACAGGCGGCGGCGCCACCAATCCTCCGCCGGGGAACATAAGAACAGGTGACGATGACGAGGCGATTGTGAAAAAACTGGTGACGGAAAATGCGGTGGTGGTGTTTGCCCGAAGAGGTTGCTGCATGTGCCATGTGGTCAAGCTTTTGCTTCACGGCCATGGCGTCAACCCTACCCTATTCGACGTGGATGAGCAGAACGAAGCTGCTGTTATGAATGAATTGTCAAAGATCATCACGGCGGAAGAAGGAAGCTCCGCTACCGGAGCCAATTTTCCGGCGGTGGTCGTCGGCGGAAAATTGCTTGGAGGTCTTGAAGAAATCATGGGCGCTCATATTTCCGGTGAATTGGTGCCTCGTCTGAGAGAAGCTGGTGCCCTTTGGCTCTGATAATCTGAACAACCAAGAAAATTTTGGATCCAAGTATGCTGTAAATTTTCCTCTTTATCAATTATCTTTCTCTGGTTTCTGAACAAATTCAACCCAGAAAATTGGTTGAATAAGAAGGTGCAGATTATCCAACTTTTTGGCTTATTTTTGTGAATAATTAATTAAAATTAGTCGGGACCATTAATTTGCGTGGCCTTGTTGGATTGGTTGGATATGACCTCATGGCTCATGCTTATCTTCTTACATCAAAATTGTCGTCACTTATTAGCAGTATGCCAGAATTAATTAATTTTAATCAGTTGATCTAATGACTTATTTACGTCAACTTAAAAAACACTTTCTTGTATATTGTGGAGAAATGTGTAAGCATTTCCTCAAAAAGTGGATGGAAGAAGTCTGGTAATTTCATTTTGGCAAAATTACAGTAATGGTTTCTAACTTTTATTCTGTGTCAACGAAAGTCCCTAACCTTCCATACATATGCACTTGAGGTCCACCAGGACGAAAACCGTCCAAAACACCGTCGGTTGACCAGGAAAATTCCTTGAACTATTTGTTACCGCAATGATTTTATTGAATGTTGATATCATTTTTTCCCTAAACTTGTCACTTACTTTTTGAATCCGCGTAGGAGCTCATGCTGACTAAAAAATGAAATTGCAAAAGTACACGTAACAATTACACTAAATGATGTAGCATGTCGAGGTCGGGCACGTTAAATTGGACGTGCATGTTCGAACAACATGTATAGAAGAAATATTTGCGACATAATTTATTAATTCACACTTTGTGCGAAAAAAAAAAAAAAAGATTTGGGACCGTAAAGTAATGTTTTAAACGGTAGACATACGAGAAATACTTAAGAACTTGCCATTTGAGCGATATAATAGCTAGAAACGGTCGCTAGTGCTCCGTAAATTCAAGTACAAAAGGAAGAATCAATCCAAACACATTTTGATATCATAAAAAATATTCTAGTTAGAAATGAATATAACAAGAATGTCTTAGTTTTCTTGCAATTAAACATTTTAAGAGTGCGTTTAGTTCAATGTATGCCTTCGACGACATTAAGGATCATTATATATTAAAACGAGTTGGTCAAAGGTAACCAAAGCATAGAATATATAGTAACCCGAGCTCACGAGCATTCCTAGTGTGAAAGTTTGAGAAAATTAGTTCTCAAATTCCGTGGGAACAACTATTATGCTAACCACTTATTGGAAATTAAGAGTGTCTATATTAACTTTATGAGATTATTCTTTTCACCATCTTAATTAAGTCAACATCATTTTTTTTTTTTTTTTTTTTAAGTTAGCACTCTAATCACACTAATGGTCACCTAATAATTGCTTTAAGTATGCACCAAGCCTCGAGGGCTTTACATATGTAGATGAATGTAGCAATGGCAATGGGCCGGGTGGGATGGGTTGGGGCAAGAAGGAGGTGGGCGTTCCAGTTCCTTGTCCGTCAGGTATTTTTTGTCTCCTTACCCTATCCTCATACTCGATTAAGGCGGGATGGGACGTGATAGCTCTCCTACGCCGTTCATCGTCCCATTTATTCTTCTTGATTTTTTGCTTTTATTTTTTAATATTTTTATTTGATGAAAATCATTGCTTTTCTTTTTCAAATTGTAAAAAAATTAATGTTTCCTTTTGAAATGATGATGATTCTTATCTTTTAGTGTGATAAAAAAATTGTATTTTGAAATGAAATTTAAACAGAACTAGGACCATGTCCCTCGTATCACCCCAAGGGTAACGACCCCAATCTCGTCCCAACTCGTATCAAATATAATGATTTTTTTAATTTTTTTTTTGGTCATCCCTATATGAACATGATGAAAATCACTTTGTTCACAATTTTTCTTAGAAGAACGCGGTTCAGGCAGTTTCGGACTTTTGACAAAATTGTCCATGGAACTTTCTTGAAAATAATAATGATAATAAAAAAAATAATGAAATAAATGATCTCTAACTAAGATTTCATTGATGGTTGGTATTTTTGATCCAAATCAATATTTTTCTGGTGATTCGGACGAAATTATTGATAAGAATACTATTGGTGATCATCGATTGTACTTCTGGTAAGAAATCGTGAATAATCATCAATGATGTGATGGTTTGGCATTATAATTGATATTAATATATTTCATAATTTAGACATAATTACCAACAGTGATGTCGTAGATAATCACAACACTTTCGTCATCAATTACTTAATGGTATTAAAGTTAATGATGTTATCGAGAATCATCGACATTGCTTCAATCACCGGTAAGACACCATCAATTTATTGTTTAACCCAAAACAACACTGTCTTGATGACGTCATTTCTTAAAAATAAAAAATAAAAATGGTCCCGACGAAATTGTTATATTCTTGTCTTTGGCCAAATGACATTTCTTTCCGTCCTTCCTTCTTCACCCTTTCTAGTGAGACATTGGCACATGCCACTCTCTCTTTACGCTTTACAGAAATACATCTTCCTTCCCATTTTCTATGGTATTTCCCATTCAGAATAAAGTTCTCTGCACAGATCCATTTGCACGGGGTCTGTACAAGGGCTCTCATATGGGGTGGACCCCATGTGTGCAATCCATCCCCATGTATGTGCATCTGTACAGATCCTGTGCAAATGAGTCTGTGCAAATAACACAACTGTTCCTATTCATCCATCTCTTTCACTCACAAACATTAGGCTCCTCTATTTTCTCCACCCGTCTAATTTCTAGGCCTCGTTTGGTATCCATTTTTGTAAGAATGAGATTGAAAAATATAGCCCTTACGGGATTCACACAAAAAATAGAAAGTCAAATATGATAGCTTGATGTGATGGATAACGGTTATATTTTTCATTTTTGTAGTCAAAGAATGTGAATCAAACAAGAACTTGTTCTTCTTTACAGTTACATATTTTTAAGGTTTTACAAAAATAGTTTAAATTTAATTACATTTTTATAAAAAAGCATTTTTCGGTTAATGCACCTTCAAATATGACTACTTTGTGAACTCTTCCGAATTTAGCCTATATTTGGTTATGATGATTTTAATCTAAGTTAAAGTCAAATAATCAATATTAACCACATTTTTCATAGGTTTCATAACTTTTCAACCACATATTTCAGAAACTTCTATCACGGTTTGTCAAAAATTTAATTTTAATCCCTACCAAACATCGTCTTAATTACATTTCAATTCCACTAGTCGATTTTGGCTAGGAAAATCAAGATTTCCCTTAAAAAAATTTCTTTGAAACGTGTTACTCTCATTGAATGGTTCAATTTGCCAATCAATCTAGAAGAAAAATCATATTCATTTGTGAACTGAAGGTGGCGTCATTAGTGGGGTTCTCAAGTCAAATTATAAAATGTCATTACATATCCACAGTGACGTGATGGGGAAATGGGCATGAAGGTATAGATAAGTTTTAAGTGATTTTCACAACAGATATTGTTGGACCACAAAGAAATAGTGAAAAAAAAAAAAATCCTTTTTGCCAAACATGCTCTTGACAAGCTAAACTAGAAAAAGAAAAGTAAATTTCTGATAAAAATAGGTAAAGAGTTACTTTTTTAAAAAGTAAGTTTTGAAGTAGAAAATAAAAAAAAATCTAAAAAACTCAAATATGCCCTTGTTTGAGACCCATTTTGAAGGAATAAATGAAATTTTGAATAGTGTATTCATGTGAAATGTGTGGTTAAAAAATAAAGAAAAATTTTAAATTTAAGTGCGATAATATTTTATTGAAAAATGTATGATTAAAATGATATTAAAATACTGTAAAATAATATATTTATTCTAAATAATGGAGCTCAAACAAGGTGTATATTTATTGATAAATAAAAGTAGCCCCCAGGGCACATCTCCAAGTGGTAAAAGGGGAGGGTGGAGAAATCCAACTTTGTTTGAGGCTGTCGCGTCAAGGGTTCGAATCCTGAAATATGGATATGGCTCTTGGGTAAATACAAGTGTACAAGCAGCCTTCCACCCTATACCTTTGGAGGCATAACCTGTGATTTACCTCCCTCACGATACTTTAGGGTAGGGGCGATGGGGGACCCTTAAGGTTGGAGTTCAACCTTTTTTTTTTAATAAATAAAAGTACTAAAAAATTAACTTTTAAACCTAAATTGTTCCAAGTGGAAGTTGTATCATTATAAGGGTAAAATGAGTTGTACTAGCTAGTGGAGCCTATCTTGATGTTAACAATTTAAAGACGTGCTGATTTGATTGAATACCAAATGTTTGACAATCAAATATGCTATAATTCGTCAATAATGCCCAACAATTGAACGAACGAGAAAGTTTCAATTTTTTATTTTTATTTTTTAATAAAACAATCAAGAAACAATAAAATTTAACCTAGACTGGACCATCCCCCTCGTGACTGCACCACATTGGCATTTTGATTTATGTTATTTAGCGAAAGATTAACTTTTAATGTCGTAAAGTAACATTAAGCCCCTATTTGATCCCCATTAAATTAAATTACATTACATTTCATTTTTCTCTCTCCTATTTTCAACCATACAATCTTCCATAAAATAATATTATACGTAAATCAAAACTTTTTCTTCTTTTTCAACCACTCATTTTTCTAAAAAATACTATTCCCCTCATTTTCATTTTCAGGTAATGGGAATCAAACGGGGGCTAATAAACACGTCAAAAAGGTAGCTCAAGGGCGAAAATCGCTAATGATTCTATGATACGAAATTTTACTTACCACCCTCTCTATTCCCAAGTAAGAGGTGAGACCAGTGTGTCAATTTGTGGAACGTTTCAAATTAATTTATACAATTTTGCTTTGTTACTTGACCTGTTACATTGGAAGAATATTGTAAATCAGAAATAAGTTTACTCGATTTTTGGAAGACCTACCAAGGAAGATTAGGGAAATCTGGGTCTTTGATAATCTTTAGAACACTGTCCCAGAGTAGTAGTGAATTATTCTTCAAGTACAAATTATTTTAACAGATTTTCTACAGAAAACACAACTGTCTCATAGGAATTAACTGCTGTTAAAAATAGTTTTTAGCAACAGCAAATCACAGGGAGATAATCTGTACTTAAAGCATTTTTTCTTAGTATTACCTCTATCAAGAGTAGTTTACATATCATCTCTCATTGGAATATTATTCCATCGGAAAAGGCTGTCAACAGACAATCGATTCTGATGCATTACAAGCCAATCATTTCACATATATATACACTAATGAAAATGAAGTGTTTCTGATATTTTTAAATTTAATGGAAGTAGATTTCCAAGTAAGCCAAGATCAAGCAAATAAGTCATCCCCTTCTATTGGCCCAAACTGGCCTGCGTCACGGATAAAAGAAGCATAGGGCTCCATATCCAAATGATTCTTGGAGCTATGAATCAAATTGGTGCTTCCAACTTCATCAGACGAGCTCGAAATTGAAGAGTTGAAGGTTTGTAACATTTCTTGAACCTTATTTAACTCGTCCTTAAGCCTCGCTACTTCTTCTTGCAACTTAGCATTGTGCGATAAAATATTTTCGAGTCTTAACTGCAAAATTTTGTGATCAATCTCGAGACTCTGATTCTTGTCACGTGCACGTCTGTTCTGATACCATGTCGCTACTTGCCTAGGTGGCACGCCTAGTTGTAATGCGAGTTGGGACTTTCTACCTGGGTCGAGCTTGCTATCGAAGTTAAAATTAGTTTCCAAAAGCATCAGCTGGTTTGGAGTCAGCCTTTTCTTTCGAGTTTGAGATCGAAAGGAATCCATTACTGCTACAGCCTTGAAGGGATGCCAAAATCTGAATACTTATAAATATTATGGAGGTTTTGAGTTTCAATCAATGCCCTGGAAGAAAAACTGTGCCTTGTGTCATTATCATAGATTGCTAGAAGTCATCACATGGGTGTGGCCTACTGATGACAATATCCCTTGAACATAGAAGAAAATATGAAAATTAACACACAGTCCTAATTATGTATGCATTTATGGATGCAGGTTTATACTAATATTAAGTTTATTATTTTAGCATTCACAATTTTCCTGGATTCTATTCTTGAATATAACTAGATGCTTAAAAACTTTGAATTAATTTTCTTACAGTAATCTAGGCAAGATGAAAAACTGGTAGTCTGCTGAAGAAGTTTCAAAATTCAGTCACCTATGCCATAAAATAGTTCTTAAAGAATTTCTTAATTTCCCGACACCAAAAGGATATCGCGTATTCATGAATTACATCATCTAAAAGTTTAAGATAATGAATTACATTACATTTTTCTTTTGTTTTATAAAAATGAAGAGTTTATAAGCAGAAACTGAAATTATAATTCTATCAGTATTAAAAAAAGTTTGAAATCAGCATAATAGAAATGTCAACTGACTGCGCCGACAATAAATTACACAGCGACTTATATTAAAAAATTAATGCTAAGAGTGATTTGTTTGATAATAGCTACAAAAACATGCCGTCTGGAGAGGGGAAATTAACCCTTTCCCTACTGAACAATGGCTTGATTAGCCACAAGAGTTGAATTTCAGTTTTGGTTATATCATAGCACCTAAAGATACAGTATTTAATTATCCCTATTAATAACTAATAAAAGATTTATATATGTATGAGAAATCCAATGTGCGTGTAAGCCTGTAAGGATACGAGCCCTATCTAAGAGCTCAAAATGTAACACATACTAACGTTGAATATTTGGATAATCTTGGAGACAGTGGCGGATCCAGGAATTCATGTGAGCACAGGTAGCCCGCCCATTATTAGGAAAAAATTCCTGACGAAGCTAACAAAGCTTAAAGTCATCAGATAAACATGGATTATTAGGAGCAAGTGGGTTATAGTAGTTCAGCCACCTCTTAAACTCATTAAAAGCCATACATAAATGCAGTTTGCTTCTCTAGTTCTTGCATTAATGTATTAAAGTCAAGCATTTGTTTGGAGTTGACTACATTAAACACGATCTGAATCCCTTAGGCATGTCATCTATCAATCTTGTCATTTTGAGGCAGCCCGGAAAGGACTGGGTATATCCATCCATTTTTTTTGTTCTTCTCATCTTCTGGATTTTTGAAGGATAATCCTATAAGAGAATTGAATATTTCTCTCTACTTTTCTACTCTGTAAACAAATGAACAGTAACTTATCCAAGACAAATGATGGAATTTCATTGGTCTGATTTCGCAGCTACCTAGGTTTCAGGAATCAAATCCTGGCTGGATTTTGATGGTTTCTCATATTAAAATGCTTATCTTGTTAATTATTCATGTTTCTTTTTCAATAGCCTCTGGATCATGTATAAATTCCATGGGAGACAAGTCAGTCCAAAAACAAAGATATTTTCTAATAGCTCAGCTTTCAACAGAAAAAGTTGAGTCCATTTATCTTGGCTCCTTAGTTATAAGCATGTTTGGCAATGCTTAAATTATAATTCTCCAATCCAAGTTCAAAATTTGACCAGCCGACATATTACCTTTCATTGAACAAAAGTTTTTTGACTAACATAATCCTCCAATCCAAGTTCAACATTTGCAACTTCCTCACCAAATAAGATCAGATGTTTACTTTTCTTTTCATCTTAATTTTATTTAATGTAACACTTCATGACAGTCAAATATGCTATTTCTCTCATTTTATGCAGTCATGTAGTTGGCAAATCCAAGGATAGCATATTCTAATTCCGGTGTATCCATTTTACAACTAAATTCTTATGCAATTTTCTTTCTTGGAAATACCTAACAAATTTTAGTTTCGTCTGCTTTTCGAGTGCAGAGAACATGAAAAACATTTACAGTATGAATTGACTGTTTATCTTTAATTCTTATCGGCTATAGCTTTAAGAGATCACGATCTTGTGTTCCTCCTGTCTATATAATATTAATGAAGATGGAAAGTTTATCTAGTGTTTATTGTATTATTGGTAGGGATGGCAAATTGCCTTGTCGGCTCGGACTGCCTGTGGCTAGATCCGAAAAAAGTCCGAGCCGGTGGCTCGAGGCTCAATTTCACCGAGCCTAGGCTTGGGGCATGCCCCATCTTGGGGGTGTGGGCCTGAGCCCAGCCAGCCCGTGTGGTTTGAGAAAAAAAAAGGAGTAACAGCTCAAGCCGAAAGTTTAGGTCAAGTCTCAATTTTTTGGTCGAGCTTTTGCTTTGCTCGACTCGACTCAGGCCAAAAAAAGCTCGAGCCGAGCCCAAACCTCGAGTGTCGGCTTGTTGACACCTCTAATTATTGGGTACTGCATACTGAAAATATATAAGGGTAAAAGTGTGGATATTGATTAGTTGTTCTCTCACATACTAAAAAATGACCATCTTTTCTCTGAAATAAACGATGCAATTAACCTTATTTAGAAATTTCAAGTTCATAATTTTTTTACGAAGCTTCTCCTTTTTGTACGTAATAGAGAACGGGGGGTAATCCATAAATTAATCGCATTATAGGCGGATCAATGCATTGCAAACTGACAATCACTGAATTACATAAGACCAGTATTACATGAAAATTGGTGATCAAACCAAGAATTTTCTTTTATATATATATATATATATATATATAGTCTCCCTTCTCTACGAGTACATATGTAGATTCCAATTATCTTCCTCAGATTAAGGTACGATGAATAAAACCATAGATTTCTCTCTCCCTCCAGGTTTCAGGTTTCATCCCACTGATGAGGAGCTTATGTTTTATTTGAAGAACAAGGTTTCTTCTTCAACTAGTCAACTAGCTTCCTTAATAGCTGAAACTGATCTCTACAAACTGAATCCATGGGAACTTCCTGGTGAATCATCTTTTATTTGTCCCTTTTTTCTTCTTTACATGGTCCAAGGGACGAATATATTTGTATTTATATTTTCAATATGACCTTTGAATAATTTATCCTTCCAAGACTTTAAATTTGGATTTTGGATTCAATACTGGACCGACGACAATCTCATCTAAAAGTTTAATTATATGCTGATAAGCAAAGAATGTTTCGTTGGTAATGATTGATATTAAGGTATGCTTGGTACGCAATATTACATAAGAATGGACAAATTTCATTTTCATTTTTTTGGTTAACAAGGCATTATAATAAATTATGTATACATTTCTGTAGACAAGGCTTACTTCGGCGAAAGTGAATGGTTTTTCTTCAGTCCCCGTGATAGGAAGTATCCAAATGGCGTGCGTCCCAACAGAACAGCTACGTCTGGCTATTGGAAAGCTGCAGGAAAGGACAAGCCAATCCTTTCTTCCCGTGCGTCGCAGTGTGTTGGTGTGAAGAAAGCTCTCGTGTTTTATAAAGGTCGCCCCCCGAAAGGCACAAAAACTAAATGGATGATGGACGAGTACAGACTTGTCAACACTAGCCATCAATGTACCTCGAATAAAAGATCAATGAGAGTAAGTCCTATACTTTAAAATGAAGTTTCAAAATTCTATAGTAACTATACTTAAAATTGAGGACATTTGTTTGCCTCCTCTTTGACAACTATCTGGTCTAAAAGTTTTAAGTTGTTGTAAGCTTGATTCAGTTTTTCAATTTTTTCATTTAAGGCCCAACATTACAACCTTTTTTTATAAAGGGTTGCGTTAGACTTGAAGTCCGATCTTTTGTCTAGTCGATCCGTTGCCACCTCTTTTGAAAGTTTAAATTGTTAAATAGAAAGAAATTTATGTCTTCTACACCAGAACAACGAGCTTTTTATGCATACCTAAGCATACCTAAGTAATTCATTGCAGTTGGATGACTGGGTTTTATGCCATGTTCGCCATAAGACCTATGTCACAGAATCTGGAGAGCGTGATGGCAGCAGCAGCAGCTTTGAAAGTCCACTGCCTTGTGATCTTGAGGAGCATGGAGAAGAAGAAGAAAATTCAAACAATAACACTCAAATTATGGATCATCTTAAAGATTATGAAATCATATTCCAAGAAAGTGAAGCAGCAGTAAATGGAAATGGACACCAAGACTTGGAGACTTATAAACAACCCTCCATGTCAAATGGGAATTATGACTCTAAAGAAAACATGAATTCCTGTGTAAAAGATGCTTTGGAAACAATCAAAAGAGTGCTTTCTCTGGGAGCTTTAGATGAACAAGAACAGTCGGAACACCCAAACAAGAGATTTTGTTTTCTCACTACATCCAGTTACAAGGAAAATTCCGTCAGGGACGACCAGATGTGCTAATTAAAGAAAATTGAAGATAAGAATGAAACAAAAAAGGTGGAGATGATTGAAATATTCTTATAGTTAAGCACACAATTGAGGGGTTTATTGTCCCATTCACAGGCTAATTATGCTGCATGCCAGTATTTGTCTTCAGCAGTATTATTGTGAAAAATGAGAACTACTCTCAAAAGAGCATTGTAATCTCTTTTCTTATCTTGTTTCGATTCAGATGAACCAGTCCATGTGAGCAAAAAGAAAAATTATGTCAAAATTTGAACCCAATGCCGGCAGCAAAGGTTGGATCTCATACAGATGGATTTGATTTTATTAAGATGATTTACTTAATTGACATATAACATTACAATAATTTAAACAAAATTTGGACCTTAGCAAGATTTGCTGGCCATATTTCTTAGTTCTCTTGAGTGATAAAATCTTGGGGTTTTCTAACTTTTATGTTTTGAGAATTTTGATTGCTGAATGCCATCAACATTACTATCCTTAAATATATATATCTAAATAAATATTTGAAAAATCGGGCATGTTAACAATTTGGTATATAACCGAACAACCAATTCGATTTGGAAAGTGACCAATTCAAACCAAATCAATTCAGCCCATAAACCGAACCAATCCAAAGTGATTATTATCCGGTTGGTACATTTTATGTAAAGTCTCCGAAATTTTCACATACTAGAATTTATTTATTTTATATACTATATTTTAAATTTTGAAAGTTGGGGACTAAAATGATAAATATGTTATATTTAATTTTAATTAGGTCATAATTAACTGGAAAGCTAATTATGCGCAACTAAAAGGCTTTCAAGGAAGTATGGGGTCACGAGTGGACCGTTTAAATCTCAAACTCTCCTTGGATAATTTAGAGTTTTTTGACAAAACCTTTCAATTTTGCAAATATGCAAATAAAGAAACTTAAACAATACCTGGAAATTAAATGTGCCTAAAATATGAATTTTTATTTATTTATTATTATTATCATCATTTTTTTTTTGTTATTCCTAATTGACATATCATAACTTAAAGGCTTTCTAAATTCTTTTGTTACAATTCTAGCCAATTGAAATCAAGCAATACTTTAAGGGTCCATTTAATTGCAAAAATGAAATTTGGGTGAAAAGAAAACGAATTTCAGGGAATTGAATTGCCTAAAAATTATTTTTCTGGGAATTGTCAATTTATTATATTTCATTGGTATAATTTTCCACGTGAAAAATGTTGAAATAAAAGTATTTTTTGGTATTCGTTTGATTTTGTTTTACACGAAAATTGTCAATGAAAGGGATAAAATGTACTGGTATTGGAGATATAATTTGTTTCCATTGTCAAAGAAAAAAATTCAAAAAAATCATCTATCTTTTGGTGTCCGTTTGACTTTATTTTACATGAAAATTATCAATTAAAAAGAATTATTTTCTTACAATAATTCTTAAAACTTATTTCCATTGCAAAAATAAAAAATAAAAATAAATAAAAAACCTGGAATTCACTTTCCCAACATACCATATAGGTGGGAAAATGAACTCCTTCAAATCAAGGAAAACATCCTCGTGGGAGGGCACCATGGAATTTACTTTTCATGGAAATTCTTTGCAATCAAACACTCACAATTGGCCAAGATGGAAATTAATTTCCATTTTCCATGAAAAGTGATGCCTATCAAACGGAGCCTAAATATAATGTGAATCACATAGTTATATGCAACATATTATAATTAAATAGGTTAATTATTGATAGAGTAATGATAAATATATCGATATTGGATTCATTGGATAACTCACAATTAATCATGTATACTAAGTTCGAGAAAAATTGATTTGAATAAGTCAATTCTAAGATATTTCAGTTAGAAGAAGTTGAAAAAAAAAAAAAAAAACTAATTTTTCAATTTAAAGTTTTGAATGAAATGGTGCTGTTGCCGCGTGTATGGGATTATTTTGATTTTGAATTTGTGTGGTTTGGTAGACACATGTAGAAATGGTAGGTAAGGTAGGTTTTCTTTATATGATTTATTTGCTTGATTTTAGGAATTGATAGTGATAGACTACCACGAGTTGATTAGATGGGGAAGAAATAACTATTGATCGTACGGAACTGAGACACTTTATAGAAAAATGGCTTTTTTTGATAGATTTTTAGGCCTAATAAAATTCAATATTTTCTTTCACTTTTAAACACCATACAAAGCTTTTTATTATTTATCTTAGAAAATTTAGATACACATATACAGTGGTAGCAGCAACACATACAAAAATAAGTTTGGAACGTGATTTTGAATTTTTGCCTTTCAAAAACTATTTTATCTCGGGAGCTAGGATTACGAGGTGTAGTTTTATGTTATACAATTTAAATTATTTTTCATGTCGATGAATTATTATACTTATGAATTTTAAAGATATAATGTGATGTGAAATATTATAATATGGTCATCCGGTACCGAATATATGATATGTATTGAGCTCTTATCGATTTTAAAGATATGATGACGATATGATTTTCTTTGAAGAATGATTTAAATTTTTTATTCGAGATTGCACCATTATTTTCGCGTCTTACTGAGTATTTTCATGTACTCACCATTTTCTCTACTCCCCACAAGTTAGAACGAGTCGTTGGTTGGTGGAGGATACGGTGTTGTCGTGGTGCCAGGACTTATGGGGCACAATAAAATTAATTCGGAGTAATAAGATATTTTTTCAGCAATTTCTTAGTTTAATTCATAAAAAAATTATTTAGAAATTTTAAACATGTTTAATTGGATTAAAATTATAAAACTGTGTTATATTTTATTGGTGGAATAAAATTTATCTTGTTATATGTATTTGGAATACCCCCGTTGGTAGCGATTTAAATTATACGATTTAGGTGGTTACATTTTAGCTTACGAAAAATTTTGTACGTGCATCATTACGAAAACAGATTTCACAATTTTCTATGTTACATTATTAAAACCAAAAATTCTAGATGAGATATGAAATACGTTTACATATACTCCATTCTAAAAATAGACCATTCACTACATTCTGTAATTGATCATTTTTTAATTCAGTCTATTTCAAGCTCTCCATTAATGTCGTTTCCTAAATTAAATAAGCAATTCAAAAAACTGATGATGGCCAAAAATAATCATTGTTGTATGTTGAACAATCACCCTACGATTCCATACTCCATTTCAAAACTCGACTCAATTGGAACATTTTTCAAGATTCAAAATCTGAAAATTCAAGGTAATATTTGGCATCATGCGTCGTGTTTCAATTACATGTAACTCGTGTTGTATTTTTTGACATTTGTAATGTGATAATCACCTTGCCCATCCTTGCTTCTACAATGGAGAACTCGTCACTTGTCTCTGCAATTTGTGGATTGTAAGACCCCCAATCATGTTGATGCTCAATCTTGATACCCAAACGTCTCCTATCAATCTTCAGCTCGTCTGCTGTCGTATCGACAAAACCCATGTAATTGTAACCAAATGGAACAAGGAGACCATAAGTATATGTGTCATTCATTACAAATACATTTACTGTGTCCATTTTCGCATCTGTACAAAGATAAGAGACATCACTTTGGATAATTCAACATTTCTGTATAAATGAAGCTGAATCGATTGGATGTTACTAATATCATAGGCAGCCTCAATATCATTGTGTAATAGGATCAAATGGAAAACCCATTTTTTTTCTTAAATGAATTTAGGATCGCATATCAAGGCACAATTATATTGAAGCAAGAATGTAGATTCCATATACAAATTCATAGTATGTTCATTACAATTTTTACACCTCCTCTTGTAGTTGTATGTAAAGTTTATGAAATCAGTACTTAGAAAAACTCGATTTCTACAACACACGCTTCATTCTAACTAGAAAAGGCTTAGTCAACAAAATCGGTGCCTTTATCCCCTTATATGATTCGTTAAGTTCCATTAAAAACTTCATGACCCAATCCTTTGTTGATTTTGAACCACTACTTGAGAACCTCCACAAATACAATGATGAATTGATTCATAATTAGGCTATTCATCTAGTGTCTTAAGCTTAGAGAAGTATACACTTACAAAATTTTGGTTTTGATTAAGGATTTATGCCTTGCTTTACCTCAAAAATTCTTAGCACGTTTTGCTGTGCTAGAACAAAACGTCGTGCAAGCTCTAACCAGAGATGATGTGCAATTTCTACATAAAATGTTTGCATTTAATGTCCACAACCATATTATGCATCAATGTTATCACAATGTCTTTGCATCTCAACCAATACACTATTAGAAGGTCATTGGGGTTAGATGGCCGTCTCTGAACCCCCTACTTGTTCTTCATATGCGAGGCTCTTTTCAAGAAATTAGTACAAGAGTAATAATTGCTTGAATCTAGGCTATATGTGACAAGCATAGCCCATGTTCCATCATTGCGATTGATGAAGAAGTACTAGTGGGTTGAGTTGGGTCCTGAACAAGAGCTCCTGGTTGATTCTAGGTGGTGTTTGGATGAATTGAATTTGGGTTTCGAAGAGATGGGGAGAAATTTTGGTAGCCATTTATGGATTCTTCCATATCTATCTCTAATACCATATAAATTTCAATGCGAGATATTGTAGGCCCCGTTTTGATTTCCATTTTTCTCAAAATGAATTTTTCTCTCTCCCCTTTTCAACCACATATTATCCATTAAAATAATATTGCACTTGAATTAAAACTTTTCATTCACGCATTCTCCATCAATCTACTATCCTAAAATTCATTTTTCCTTAAAAATTGGGTGTCAAACACCCTCGTAAATTTGTTAATGCAGGAATAAATTTTGAAAGGAATTGCATACATTTGGAGAAATTGAAACTTTGCATTCATTCTCTTTGTTTATGTAAAATGATAATGCAGTCGTTGAATATATAGAATATAGAAAGAATCAAAAGCTAACAAATTCAAAACATAAAAAAGAATCTACAATGTATGGCCCCTTGAATTCTTCATCCTAATAACAACTTTCTGAGCCAACAAAATATTCATTCTTC